CAGGAGTAACAATTTGGCTTCTCGCCCTTATTTACTTCATATCGGGTGTCCCAGGAGGCTATGTGTTATGGTATCGGCCTCTATACCGTGCCTTCAGGTTCTTATTTCTCATATCTACCCACTAAAAAACGCAGGCGTATCTTTTGTACTAATGGAGGAAAAAAGTCTTCACAGTTTTTTTCTCTCCACATTCTGATACTCAATGTTTCCTTTGTGCTGGATTCTTGCAGAAGCGATAGCGCATTGAACTTTGGATGGTTTTTCTTGTTCTACATGGTGAGTCCTTGTAGTTTTTTGCTGATTTCAATGGCAGATTTTATAACCGAGTTATCATGAAATTCATCGGAGACTTTCCTTTCTGGCCACAGCTCCACATACTTTTCTGCGTCTTTGCTGCAGTTGCTCCTCCTATTGTCTTCAAAGGAAAATCACTTGCGTAAGTTTCCTCAATAGCTTCGAGATATCAGATATTTATGTTAATAGTTGCATCATCTTCATCCTGTTAACAAGGTTTCGATGATCTTCAACTTTACAGGGGCATATTACCTGCAATAGATGTATTGAACGGTCAGGCATTGGTCGGAGTAAGCTCTTTTTACCCCTTATGAGCTCTTGGATTGTGTCATTTTCTATTTCCTCCGAGTTTTCTGCAACCAATTGATCTTGTCTGATGAACCTTGAGACTCTTGAATCATTGATCTCTTGTTTTGCATATCACAGATCTTCTACTTCATCGGATTTGCGTTTTTCTGCCTTGAATCAGTGGTCAGCATCTGGGTTATTCAGGTCTCTTTCCTAGTCTCTGGGACTGAGAATATACACTCTCTGGATCGATATAGTTTCCGTGGCAAAACTCTTCTAACAATTGAAATGGCCATTGTATTTGTGCAGCAAGTATACATGTACTTCCGAGGAAGCGGGAAAGCGAATGAGATGAGACGGGATGCTGCAAGAGGAGCCATGAGAGCTGCAATATGATGCAAATGTATAAATCAGTGACTGAAAATTTCAAATCATTTTCTGAAGCATTTGGTTGTGATGTGTAATGTTTACACATTTCTTCAGCTGTTAGTTTACTTACTGATCGATTTTTTTTCCTTGAGCTTTTTTGTTTTGTTTTCATCAGCTGTTCTTAAAAGTAGTAAACTCAAAAGCTCATATATAAATGTGTTTGTTCAATTTGAAGTCAGATTCTTTACACATTCGCTAACTATTGTTTATCATCAATAACTTTCTACTATCAATAACTTTTTAAACCTTCGCAAATCATCAATAATTTCTAACGTGAATTTTGTTGTTAGTCTGGAAACTACTAAAAGCACCCCTTTTAGTTCTTTCACTTTGGCATATTCCTTAAAATTAAAAATGTAAGCTTTTGTTTTTAGGCACGTGAATTTAGTGCAAAATTGACATATATATTAATAATAATCATGGAGTACTTTAACTTTAAGACTGTTGGAATCTTTTTGTCTTTCGTTAAATGACCAATCTACCCTCAAGAATGAGAATTATTTTAAGGGCCTTATTCGTAGATAGACTTATGTGGATTTTGTAGATTTTGAAAATTCTGAGATTTTATAAATTTTGATGGATTATCATTGATTCTTAAAAGATATTCCTAGGATTGTTATTGATTTGTCATAGATTGATATGGATTTATATTAACCATTTTCTATATAAGGTAATATATAAGGTAACCCTTTTTATATACTACGTGAGCATAAC